TTTAATGGACTCTTCACACCATGACTTCTATAATGGTTTACTGTAATCAACACAAGACATTTTAATAAATTTTCCCTTATAAAAAATCTTAGAATAAAATGAATTTTTATCTTCTAAAAGCTGCATTTTATTCGCATTATCAACATTAAGTTACTCATATATGTATGCATATAATTACTCAATATTATTCCATGTTTAATATTATATATACATATGTTTGTACATATACATATATGTATATACATATTTATTTGTTTTATAATGTATTATGCATTTTTTATTTAATCATTTATTTTTATACTGAACTAAGGCCACCAAAACAACGTTATCAATTCAGGGCTACAAATCGTAACAGCTTTTTTCTTGTTTTTTTTTTTTTGCGAATTATTGCATTAATAAACGAAACTTTATTTACATATACACATCCATCTGAAATATGCAAAGTACGTTGTCGATCCATACGTCGTGACTAGAGTCCATAATGATAAATACACATTTATCGCCGCTTTCAATCACTAACATGGGCGGCACACACACACACACATACACACTAGAGCGAGATATTTAGCGCTTGCTGCGACTGGATGAGTTTATTCACCACACACATAACATAATACACAAATTAGTATTATAAACAAATGATTTCTATAAATATCGTTTATAGAATAACTTGCCCTAAACGAGTATAAAAAAAATTAGAAATGAAAATAAAAAAATAAATAAACACAGCAACAAATAATAAAAACTAACAATTCTAAAAGAAAACCAGAAGTTTTGTTATAAAAACAAAAAAGCAAAAAAAAACTTGTTCTCCATGTGACTATGTTTTTGTTTTGTGGAACATATTAAGAATTGTTGTAGGAATGAATCTTTATTCGGAACGACCGTTTGTGGAATTTAAGTTGCTATTTTCTTACTAAATACTAAACTGGTTCGTTCTCCATGTGATTCCAATGCCTTTTTAATATATGCAACAGCACATCAGCACATTTGTTTGCATTCTTATTGCTGATTGCTGGACTGGACTGGACTGGAGTGGACTGTTAAATCAATAATAAGAATCTAGTGAATTTCTAAAACTTGTATCTCCTGAACGTTTCTCTAACGAGACGAGTCTTTTAAGTGGCGAAACTGGACAACAACGTTTTGTGCTTGGAGTCGCTTGACATCGCGCACTTATCGTTTAAGCTAGTTTTGCTTATGACCAAAATGTAAAACCAGTTACAAGTTTAAAATGTAGTAGAAAAGAATTATTGCAAAAAACAAAAAAAAAAACACAAACAAAAAAAAAATATCCCGCTTTGTGAATTTCTTGTTTAGCTGGTTTTCTTAAAACAATAAAACAACAAAAAAAAATTCGTATTAAAAAAAAAAATCATGCTTTGCCTCAATCGTCACGAAATTAAAACGCAGCGTACAACTCGTCGTCGACGTCGTCAACGTCGTCCAACATACAAACCAAATAGTTCAAGCGTACGTATAGCATATACACAATGAACAGCACACATTTCACCACTACTGTTACAAAAATGACGTATGCATTCATAATTGATTCAAGAAATCCACATCACCCCTTATTCAGGTCTGGGCTACTGGTTCTGCAACAATGACTTGTACAAGGCATTCTCGTATTTACACATCATGATACAAAAAAAAAAAAAATGAAAAAAAAGGCATACAAACTCAATTACACTTCACCTTACGTTTTACCTCACTGCACCGGATCGTAATACATTTTATGGCATACACGTTGTTGCTTTTGTTGTAAATATTTTCTTTGTGCGGCTCCACTGAGAGCATGCGAGTAGCAGATGTTTTTTCTCTATTATTATTATTATTAGTATTTTTTGCTTTTTATTTATAAATTTTGGTGTTTTTTTTTTCGGTTTTTGCTGCTGACGTTTTTGTTGTTTGTTTGGATTTCAATTCAATAAAATTGCCTTAATTCTTAATTTTGTGAAAATATTTTTTTTTTCTTTCGTTTCTCATTTTCATTTTTGTTATTGTTTTTTGTTGTGTTGCCATGTAGCATGCTGTGTTTTTGCTTTTATTTTTATTTTTGTTTTTTGTTTTTTTTTTGTTTTTGTTTTATTAAAAACACAGTGCATGCAGCCAGCGTATGTATCTCAGAATTTATATATAACAACAGAAAAGTTTATTTATCTTCTCATTAGGCACGAAATCGAATGAAAAATGTTTTGTTGATAAAAATAATTTTCTCCATTCTCCATTCGTTGTGGAACAAAATTTTAATTTTCAAATATTCCAGCACTATAATTCCATGTATATATAGTGTATATATAGTATATATATTCATTCTATCATTGTTATGTTAGCATGTATCAGATTCTATTTTTACCGTCGTATTAATAGAGGGAATTTAGTGTTTACCTCACCCACCAACACCCCACAAAATATATTTCTCGATTTCATTTTGAGAAATTTTATTAAATTTATTAACACTTATATACATATATCTATTTATATATACGCACGTATGTTTATGGGATCTCAACAAATGTATAATAATTTAAAATTAAAATATTAATCGATTTCTTGTTATCGATAACAGATAACAGATCTTAGATCAATCACTGAATAATCATGAAGCTTATAAGGAATACATAAATTAGTCAATGAAATGGGTGGGTCCCTGTAGTATCTACCCCCAGCTATCAAAGATTAAAAGTGCCCAGTTGCGCTGACACGAAAAAAGGATCAACATACATACTTGCTAGGATTATGTAGAGTTGATCTATAGTCATTTAATTTTAAATCGAAATTATACAATTTAAATGTCTAATTAGATATTCCAAAAATTATAATTTACCATACATATGTATGTATAGACACATACATTCTTATAGCACAAGAGTGCTTATAGGCCGCGGTGTATCATTATCCCACCCTATCGCGCAAGAGTTCTAATAGATTGCGATGTAGCATTTTTCCATTTTATAACGGATAAGTTGTAATAGGTCCAGGCGTATCATTGTCTTCATCTTATAGCGCAAGAATTCTAATAGGTCGTGGTTTAGCATTGTTATATCGTATAACATAAAAATTCTTATATGTCATCCTGATAATAATCCCATCTTATAGTGCAAGAGTTTTAATAGGTCGCGGTATAGCGTTCGAATTGTAAAGCAAACGAAAGTCTAAGTCAGTGTGAGACTTCAACCAACTAAAAGTATCCCGTTGTCAGACGGTTAACTCCCTCGGGATCACCGATTTGTTATTTCGTAAAGAGACTGTCGAGAGCACGAAGTTCAAACGTTTGTTTTTATTGTTATTATGCAATGGACTACATTTTTTTTATACTGTGTATCTCCATATATCATCGTTGCAGCAGGGTTATTGCAGATAACACACTTCATCTGGGATTGTGAAACTTCATCTGATCTGTCTATGTTTATCGTTGGCTAGGAGAAGATTCAAATTCTTCAGAGCATCTTTTCTTATGACATTTTCTATAATGACATTTATCGGGGGTATGTCGTGTCAGCGTCCATCAATTTTTCAGGGACTCTTTTTCTTACCAATCAAACATACTTTTTATTCTATAAAATCAGAAACTTGGCAAAGATGATTGGATTTGTCAGATTGGTTTACTTTCACTTGAATAGAGGAGTCGTGCGTTTAGCGTTATTTGTACGGTGATCACTGATTCTGAATTTATGGGGATTTACAAAAAAACAATTAAAGTATTTGTATATAAATATATTTTTGTACTTAACAATGGCTTCATGTTATATACAAAGAAATTCTGTGATAAATACTCTGAAATTCTATTTTGAGATTTTTTCTTCAAGTTTATCTGTACTAAATTTTAGATAAAATTATTAATATATATTATATCTATTTCATAAAAAGTGCAAGATATTTCTTATTTCAGATAATATTTTAAAATTGTACATATCCTTAGCAAACTATTCCACAACTTCTTAGATATATTATGATTACAAATTCGATAACTAATAATCGATATCGTTGTTATTCTATTATGTTATCATAAAATAACATAAAATTTTATTTTGCTTGGATTTTCTATGAAATAACACTTTTAAAAAAGTTGATTTCACAGATGCTAGCATTCTGTTACATAACTTATTATTATTTTAAATTCGATAACTGATTATCGATATCAATATGTTATTTTTTCTTTACGTAGAGTGACAGCCTTATGTACTTAAACTCATTTAGGCATAAATAATGGCGCGTTATATTACCATGGTTTAGACATTCAGACTCGTAGAACCACTTAAAAAAAAGGTGGAGGTCCCAAACATCTAGTGAATGAACGATGCCTATCTGAGAAGACGCTATTCTCCAATTCAAGTAACATTATTAATATAACATAAAAATTAAAACTTGTAAAAGAAGTGATTTCCAGAAAAGATCTGGAAAAGTTTCTGTTACAAAGTGTTAGGATTTTCTGAGAAATATTTTTTAGTTTAGAATATACACACATATGCGTGCATTTACAAAAGTTCCACTTTTAGTGATACTAGTAGCGTACTAGTTAAGATTATTAAGACGATCCTAGTACTCTACTAAGGTCTGTTGGTGGTCCTTTTGTTGTACTTAACTATTATTTCTATTTAAGTATATAAAGTGGTTTGAGTTGTGTATTAGTTTAGGTTGTACAAGATGAGTTCTTGTACAGTAGTTCTTTAAGGTCTGTTGTTGGTTCTTGAGTTGTAATTACCTATTAACTCTTAATATTTTAAAAGAAATTCACTGATCAGTGCCACACACCAAAAAACGTCAAACTTGTGAAATCACAAGTTTTTTTCTTAAGTATTTATTTCTTTATCGAAACCAAATAATTTCATATAATTCTTTTAAATTCTTTTTTTTTTTCTAATTTTTATTTCCACATACTTTTATTTTAAATGAAATATTTTCTTTTTTGTACTTAATGTTTTATTTTTATTTGTGTATAATGTATGTTACGGTGCAAATAAATACTTATTGAAAATACATATATTTTTTCCATTTCTCGGGAAAAAATTTTATATGATTTATAGTTTTCTCAACGCCACATCCGGCCGTTTCGCTGGGCAATTCGACGCCTCCAGCCTTACCAACGTCACAACCACAACCTCTACCACAGTCAATAGCACCACCACCTCTACCACAATTATCAACAACAGCCTGTTCAGTTACACAATTAGCACAAAGTCCGATGGCTAATTTAATGTCAATTACAGAGACATTGCCGCCAGGTAGTCCACGCAATGGACCCAGCCCACCAGGACCTCCACCACCGCGTACAGCTTCTCGCGGTAGCCAACATTCACCGAATAGTTCGGGTGAGTTTGCATTAATTAAGCAAACTAACATACAATACAATTTTAATATTCTTTCAAAATTTATATTTTAAAATTTATTTTTAAATTTAATTTTTTTTTTTTTTTGTCATTACAGCAGGCTCATCATCCGGTCGTCGTTCTTCTGGTTCTCGTCATGTTTCTAGCACAACTGTTACCAGTTCGGAAGTGCAATCAAATCAGCCAAATGCTCCACAAGTTGGCCCTGGTGGCTCAGTTAATGTAAGCAGTGGTGGGGGTGCAGGACCATTGCCACCCGGTGCTAACGGCGGACCAGATGCCGGTACTGGACCCAGCGGTAGCAATGGCACAGGACAGTCAGCTCCTGGCATGAATTCAACAGCAACAGCTCCAGGCGCTGCTGCACCTACTTCAGCACAAAATGCCACATTGAAGTGCACATTATGTCAGGAACGTTTAGAGGATACACACTTTGTGCAGTGCCCCTCGGTTAATCATCATAAATTCTGCTTTCCCTGCAGTCGGGAGAGTATTAAGAGACAAAATGTAAGTTTTAAATTCTTAACACGATGTATGGATTATGTTTAATTATGGATCTTATCTTTATACTACAGGGTCTCGGTAATGAGGTGTATTGCCCAAGTGGTGATCGTTGTCCCTTAGCAAATTCCACCATACCATGGGCATTTATGCAAGGTGAAATCACAACAATATTGGGTGAAGAGGTTAAGGTGAAAAAAGAACGTGAGTCTTAATGTCCATTTTATTGTAAGAAGCTACGACGAGCTTTGGAGAAGTTTTAAACAGTTTCAATACAACAACAAAGCGATAACAATACTACTTTAACAACGAGCATTTTCAATATGAAATGTTTGCAGTTTTAACTAACATATCCCAGGAGTCTGCCAACATATGGCAACTCGAACATTTTATTCAGCTAAAAC